TTTTTTTTTTTTTTTTTTGATTTTCTTTAACGACAAAAATAAATAAATTTTCTTACTAAAGTTCGGCATCGTCAAGATACTATGATAATTTTTACCTTCTCTCTGATACTGTTGCTTTTATTGTTTTGCAAAAAAACAGATTAGTATTATCAGGTTTCAAAACCGCCCGCTGCTACTCTGTAAGAAATTTGATTCTAAAGTAGGATATTATCTATGTATATGTCCTCTGTATGTAAAATTTGCTATTTCAATACCAATATTTATTTTCATTCTATTCTATTCAAAACACTGAAAAATCCTTCTTTCAACAAAAACTTACTTATAAAACAACGCACCGAAATGATAGCCCCGCTCAAATGTGCCCTAATATGTTGGTTAAGCTGCAGTGTTCGTTATAACTGACAACAACAATAACAGAAATAATTTTTATTTCATTTACTTTTAAAAACCTTCAGTAGTACATTACTTTTAAGCTAAGACAAAGAAACAACAGAAAAAAACAGAAGAGGAATGAATGTTTTAACAAAAAAAAAAAACGCTCATTTTGGTGTACTTGGCCAAAGATCACTGCTTTCCTAAATGTCAAATAATTGAACAGCAAATTGATTTATAGCACTCAGCACTCATAACTTCTTGTTTTCTCCTTCACCTTAAAAAATTCTACAGCTAATGTATATTTTTGTTTCATTTTTTGCTTGTTTTTTTTTAATAAAATTATTCTTTCTAATAATTATGTGCATATTTCTTTAGCTTTTTTTCAACAATTTTCTCTTTTGCTTTTCGCCTCACGCTTTTCTTTTGCATTTTCACAATAAGTTCTCTAAGCTTTTGGTGTAAAGAAGTACATCTCAAATTTTGAAGTTCTTCAGTGCAAAATAAATGCTGGAAAGAAAACAAAGGCTGAATAAAAAGAATTGAAAAAAGAAAGAGATGACTACGATGAGGTCTGCTTATGAAGTAAAAAACCGTTCAGGCATAACAACCACGAAAAGATGCAGAAAAAACCGAGAAAACAGTCAAAGAGAGACGTCTTAGACAGTCCTGCCTTTAAAGCAATAACATAAAATCGATGCTTTTTTTCTCCGCTTCCTTGTCATTCAGCATAAAATTGATTTAGTGTAAATTCAGTCGCAAATATGTAAAACATTAGATAACAGTCCCCTATCTTCTCTTTCCTCTCTATAATCAAGGTATAAAAGTGGAAAAAGAAGTCGTGTTTTACAAAAAATACATTTACAAAAAGAAAAAAAAAGACTAGTACATAATTTACAAAATAAAATCCGAAAAAAATTATAAGCTGAAAACCTCCACTTATTGTTTGCGATAAATTTGAAGAAATGAACTAACGAATTTAACAGAAGTAGGAAGATGAGATGCATGTAAGCTGCTGATGGAGACGAATGATACGAATGATCAACAAATAAACGAATGAAAGAAACAAAAATCAAAAACAACTAAGGTAAACAAGAAAATTTAAAAAAACGGTAAATAAATAAATAATCATTTTTTTAGAAATGTTGAGGATTTTGCTTACATGGCTAGCTAGCTTGCTTTGCTCAAAATTGCATCATCGTTATGATGACAGTGGTGCTGACAACAATGGCGACGGAAATGAATACATTGATAACAATGACGATTCAGTCATATGCAAAAAAAAAAGCTTCCAGTTCGATGACGACTGCCAACTCAAAATTATGTCAGACTTGAACGCCACCCATAAATACCATTATAAGAAGTTCAAATTTTATCACTTTCTTTTCCAGGAAATCTGTCCTTCCTCTTCGTTTCGTGGCATTAAACATCTTAAAAATAACAGTGCAAGAAGAAAAACACTTCTGCTAAAATCGACAAAGTTACACTGCAGTTTCACTGCAGTTCAGTTGAGTACGACAACATCACAACAAGACAATTCAGTGATTGTGGGACTATCACTTATGAGACTAGGATGACCCGCAACAATCATTACAGTCAAGAATCACATGTATGATTAAAGAAAAACCTTGCTCACTGCTTACTACTTATTAGAACTAATCGGCAGAAATGATAAAACAAATAAACGTTATATTTAGACGAACGTGGGACATTGAAGAAAGATATTATCAATCAAAATTAATTTGTAAGAGGAGGTTATTATTTGGAGCGAAGATAGTAACGCAAATAGCAACAGGTCATTTGACCGGTATTCCAAGAGAAGTTTTTGAGGTTGTCGTTGATATACAAAGAAAGACAGAATAACGAAAGAGAAAAGAAAAGGAAAAATTAAAAAGACGACAACCAAAAAAGCTGAAACCACAAGGGCTGTAAGTAAATGAAACTGTTGAGCCAAAAAGTATAATGAGGCGGATATCTAATATTTGCCATAAAAACGAGAGTAAAAATTATTCAAGCTACTGAGTCCTGTCGAATTATTTCTGGCTTGTTGTGCTCTCATCTTTATTTTATACTCATTTGCAGTTCAGACAGAATTTCAGAGACAAAATAATTTTTTCTTTTCATAATAAAATATAACAACGTCAGCAATGAGTACGTCATTGAAACAAACCAATTTTGTAAGGTAAGCGAAAGCGATAATCCAACGCAACGTATGCAGAAAAATGATTACATATGCATG